AACAATGGGGGGGGGGGAGGAAACCACCAACAAGATTGGAAAGATGCATGTAGGTAAGACTTCAGAAAACACACACAGAGAAGGACACCAGGTAATCAGATCACAAGAAGTAGAAGGTCACCAGCTGAACAAAGCAAAATTCACAATTCTAACAAGAAGAGAAGGAGAGGCCTCAGATGCTGGCAATGTGAAAGATAAAGGCAAGGTTTATGTGCAAAGGGCAGACACACCTAACCGCAGTCAGCACCTCTTCATTTTGGACAGGCAAGGAGCCGTGTTTCAAAATAGGCTTAACATATTCCAGCAATCTAACATCTTTCAAGAGAGGAACAGAAACGGGAGGGGGGGGAGAACCATTGGGCAAGGGTTTTCCACTGTCCCCAAAGATTTCCACAGGACCTAGACAAGCCCAGGCACCTTTGGGGGGGGGGGAGGAATTCACAAAGTCCAGCCACAGCTGATGACAGCCTCACCCATATGCAGCCTAACTTTACGTGACTAGATTTCAGCCAATAGCAAAAGATCTCTAGACAACAACTGAAAACTGTGGAAAATCTATGAAAACATTTAAACGTTGAAAACTATTTTAAACCACGTACTTATATTTCATAGCCTACTGAAGCCAGGACCTTAAAACCCCAAAAAGGTCTAGCAATGAGCCACCTCTAACCTCAATGCTCAGCTGGTGCAAAGGGTCATTCATTCCACAAAGGGAGCTGCAGTCCAGAAACACCTGAACGGTCACTTTCCTCTTGGCACTGTTGTTTGAAAGTTGCTTATGCTGGCTTTATTTGAGTCGTCTCCATTATGTTTTAGCCGACAGTAACCAGCCCAGAGTAGTGTACTGCACTAATGGGATGGTATACAAATTTAAGAAATCAATCATCCATCAACCTGGACTAAAAAGACTCTCTGATATCACCCAAGGTCCTTTTCTCCTTGATGCTCGCTGATTGGAGCTCATTTATCGCTTCTCTTCTCTTCCACCCCCAGAGAACAAGACGCCTCCCTGCAGGCTCCTTGCAAGAGCCTGGGAGAGGTTTCCCTCTGCCCTCCACATCCACCTTCACCAGCGAGCCCAGCAGCTGCCAAAAGGAACAGCAATTCTATCCCCTCAAGACTTTGGCACTCACCCAGAAAGCACCGCATGCTGTCCAAGGCAGTCCACCGACATGGCCGTGGCCTGCAGAACACAGGAGAGAGAGAAAAACATCTTTGTATTAGCTCATTAATTAGCCCAGACAAAAGCTGCTTATTGAAAACACATTTAGGAACCAGGGTCACAACTGTATGGACACTTGCTATCAAGCATTCCACTGAAATCAGCAGAAGCAGGAGCAGCAATCCTCCCCACCCCCACCATCCCCATTGTTTTTTGTTTTTTTGTTTTGTTTTTTTGCAAACCCCCCCCAAGCTGGTTGGGAAACATGCATTCTGGACTTCTTGTAATGATTTGCCGGAACAGGGGAAATCATTGCAAGTCCAGAATGCAGGTTTCCCACCCAGCTTGGGAGGGAGTTGCAAATTCTATTTGAATAATTATAGACAGAATACATTAACGAGTTTATCCCTTCAGAAGTTAAGAGTGTATTTGTTCAATTGCACTTCTATTTAAAAAGGAAATGGATCACTGTGATGACAGTTCTTTGTATGTGGGCATCTCACCAGCCAAAGCTGCGTCCAGCTAAATCAACCCATTCCCACACCAGTTCAGTGTTCAGCCACATGAAATCCCTCCCTTCAAAGAGAAACGGACAGCCAGTAAGGTGAGATAAAGAGGAGCTGAATTCTGGCCAGTGGGATTACAGTTCAGATCTTCACTCTACTGTGAATTTCACTGCATGACTTGGGAGACAGTTATTCTTTTTCAGGCCCTCATCATAGAAGCCCCTAATTCCATATTTAGAGGTAGTGCACCCTTAAGAGGGAAAATGGTTTGTTTATTCCAACAGGGGTTTGTCTCTGTGAGCAACTGGCAAATCAGATTCCTTTTGTTTTGCAATTTATGGTATTGCAGCGTTGTGTGTGTATGTGATGTCTCAGAGGGCACTGAAAGATTTGTGTAAACTTGTGTACAACTGCAGTAAAATTGTTTTAATAATGCTTGATGTCAAAATATGTTGCTAGATAACAATCTGTCTGGCTTAGGATGAAAGAAAACTGTCAAACAAGCTGGTGTCTGATCAGGAAAGGATGAAACACTGCCTTCCAGCTTCTCGCTGCTATGCTCTCTGTCGCTGTGACAGGCAAGGTCAGTAGGTAAACATAACAGCTGTGGGAGGAATGTAGGGTGGAGAGGAAAATGAGCTCAGCTCTGGAAGGAGAAAAGTCCAGCATCCAAAGACTGCCAAGGGCTCAAGTCTCCTGGGAAGGGCATCTTCATGACCTTTGAAAAAGCTGCCCAAAGAAAAACAAATACCGGATCCTCTTCAATCAGTCTCTGGGCCTTTGAGCACACAGAATTGCTCCCATTACGGAAATATCTGCAAGGAGACAGGCACTCAGACAGCTGCAATGCCAGCCAGAGATGCAGCAACACAAGGCCAGAGAAAGCCTTCCAAAAGCTTTGGGAACCGTCTCAAGTTTTGTCACAGGCTCCCACCGCGAGGGCCACCTTCATGCATTCTCTGTTCAGAAGATCAACCCAACTCTGCAGCAGCCGTCCCCCGGAAAACAGCTCCCATGGGCTGTGCAAAATCATATTCCCCCTGGCAGAGCTTGGTACTGTATCTGTCTGATCTGAAGATTTACGTACCACCTTCCATTAAACAGGCCTCAAGGAAGCTTAAAACCGCTTGGCAGCAATATTGGGGAAAGGGCAGGAAATGAACATCTCTGTGCACGAAATTCTGGCTCATTTTGGGGCAAAGCTCTATTCCCTGGGGACCCAAACCCTAATGGCTTCAGTGCTGAGTGTGGTTGAAGAGAAACAAGCAACATCTCCAAGGCATTTCTGAGCACAAACCCTAACTCTGCGCCTTCTTGCATTTTGTACATGCAGGTCTACATGTCATTAGTCCATCCATGCATGCATGCAAGCAGCCTGAAGCCTTGCCACTCATCGGGATGGGGGGAGAACCCATTGAATGTTAAAAAAAAAATTTAAATTGGATTTATAAAATTTAAATAAGGGTTATTTTTTTAAAAAAAAAAAAAAGGTAAACACTAAGTTTCTCATAATAAGGACAAGGTTTGCAGGAAGTAACCTAAGACACCAGCAAGTAACAAGTGAGGAAAATTAAGCACAAGTAACATGCTTTAAATGTTATATTCAAACAAAATTAAAGATCACCTTTGAAATAATTTTTAAATTAAAATGTTTATCTTTAAATTCTTAGGACAATGTGTACTTCCATTAAACTGCTTGTTTATACGTTTAAGAAAAGGTCTCTGTTCTTGTTGTGTTGTTAGCACATTCCTGTCTACAGTATTTATATAGGATTTTACTTTTCCCCTTCTTTCAATGGCTTTGCTACAATGATGTCTTATTACAATTACGTCTGAATAACAGGAAGCAAGTAACAGATCTTATGAAATCAAACCTCCAGCCTCTTAAGCTCAAGGAAAACAGAGAGACAGCTTTGTGTACTTTTTGAAACCAAAATTAACCACAAATACTGTACATTTTCAGCTTAGATGTTTCCAGCACAGTCAAAACATGGGATTCGTAACTTAATATCAAGTTACACTATTATCTAATTTGTGGTTTTACCTCCCTCCCTTCAGATATACTTTGTTTGCAAATCACTTAAACACAAAAGTTCACAAACTTCCAAAACAGTGTAGCGGTCTCAATTCACATTCAACTTTTTGCAACAACATGTCTCTTTTCCAAAAGAAAACTTTCCAGCAAAAAACAAAACAAAAGCAAAAAGTATACATTGCAAAATGTGCATATTTTAATGGTTTCCATACATCACTGAGTGTGCATAAAGCTCATATAGCAAAAATCCCTTCAAGGGGAGGAAACAAATTTATTTCATTGTCTGAATCTGCTAGTTGTTACATTGCCGCATAATTATTCCAGATTTCAACAGTAATTACTGGAAAACACAAAAAAAGGGTACTATCATCCTCACCTTTAGCTTACGGGATTTATTTGGCTCATATATTGATCTATTTACAAGGCTTCAGAACTCACGTAGATTTGCACATTTCAAAATGATTGGATATTCTGCGTACTTAAGACCAAGAAAGCAAAGCCCCAAACTCACATGGAGGAATTCAGAACAAATCATTTGGATAATTACTACCTCTCCTACTCCACTTTGTGTCATCGGCAAATTTAATAAGCATTTTCTGCACTTGCTCATCCAAGACATTTATAAAAAGGTTGGGCATGTGCTGGGCCCAGGACTGAGCCTTCTGGTGTCTCAGTTGCTACTTCCTCCTCCTTAGAGGAAGAACCTTTGATAATCTCTCTCTGAGAACAATCCTGTAACCGACTGTTGATCCGCCTGACACTTGTCCGATTCAGCCCACAGCTAGTGAGCATGCTGCCCAGAATATCATGGGCTCGCTACTGTGTCAAAGGCTTTGCTGAAGTCAAGATATGTTATGCCCACAAGCATTCCCACCATCTACCAGGGAGGTTGCCAGAGACAGGAAACAATCCTGGACCCATCCCATCCGTCTTAAGTCTTGCCACCCAGAGTAGACTATCTGTCTAGATGGGCGGGGTATAAATCTAATAAAATAAATAAAAATAAAATAAATTGTTGTACGCTGCATGCCATATGTGCAATTGTTTTTATTTGTCTGTTTTCTGGGTTTGCTGCTTCTATTGTTGTACATCACCCAAGGGTGACCATGGGGTCAGACAACTGGTGTAGAAGTTTACCTTGTACACCGTTCAGAGTAGCATCAGCCAGAGGAGTGGTATAAAAATTAATTAAACAAACAAATAAAAATAAAATAAACTAGAGCAATGAACCAGGGTGCAAGAATGAAAGCCCACCGGAGCTCCCCGTGCCTCGACATGTTTGCAGCCATCGCCCCTGTCCCACCCTCCTCTGCACGGGCTGCACTACAAACCCCATCACCCCCAGCCCACAAAGCACGGCACCCTATACCACAACCCACCAGGCCATAATAAGAGGATAAGGCGCGACCACGTTGCCCACGACCACATACGGGGCACAGCCCATCTGTGTCAGGCACATGGGTAGAAGACCGCTGGGGAGGGTGGGCTTTGTAGTCCTGGGTCTCTATTTAGGAGGGGGAATAGCTTTGGGGTGGGGGGCTCACGACGTCTCTCAGAATCACGGCTGGCCGCGGAGAGGGGGAAGCGGAAGGGGAGCCTGCATGTGACCGCTGCCCTCCACCCCCCCCCCCCAAAAAAAAGAAAAGTAACGAGTCGGAGTTCTGGAAGGAACGGAACGCCCCCTCGGGGCGGGGCGGCAGAGGAGAGCCCGCTCCCCGCTCCCTCCTGGGAAAGACCCGAGGCCGAGGCCGAGAACGGGGGTCCGGCCGCCCCGGGCCCCCTTCCTTCCTTCCCGGGCGGCGCCGTTACCTGCGAGTCCCGGAACTCCACCACCACATTCTCGCTGCTCCAGCGCGCCGCCATCTTGGGCCGCCCGGACAGCCGCGGAACCCAGCGCCGGAAGTGAAAGGGGGAAACGAGGAAGTGACGTCAGGGGGACGCGCGCTCTCGCGCTAAGGGAGCCGGGAGATGTAGTCTTAAAGGCGCCAGGTCAGCCAGCCGCCACACACACTCCCTCTTTTCGTTCCGATTGGGTGAACTGGTGTTTGAAGCGCGCGGCTCAGTTGCTAATACAAAGGGATAGTGATGATGATGGTGATGATGGTTTATTACGTTTGAACATTAAGTCCAGCCTCTCTCAAGGAGGCACAGTGTGAGATTCGAACACTCAACCTCTGGCTCCCTAAACCCCTGAGCTCTCTATCAGTCTTAAAGCATCACAATCATCATCATCATCATCATCTTAAAAGGGACCTTCTGAATTATCGAACCCAGCCCCTGTCAGGGAGGCACCGTGAGGAACTGAACTCCCAACCTCTGGGTCTGCAGCCATGTACCTAAACCACTGAGCTATCCAGCAGTTCATGATGATGATGACGATGATGATGGGTCAGACCTGTCTGTGCCTGGGAATGGCATGCTCTGGGAGACAAATATTAGGGGTTGTGGTGAGGCCCTTTGCACATGCCCAGAGGCTCATTGTGTGCCCAGATATTTTACTTGTGAATTCTGTGATTTTTTCCTCCTAGGTCTGAAGAAGTGGACGTGATCCATGAAAGCTCACATTAAAATATAATATTTGGACTTGGTTTGGTTTTTATTTTGGGTTCCTTCCCCCCCCCTTTGGACTATGTCTGATATATAGGCATCATCACTCTATCTACTATATCACCCAGAGTAGCATTATGTGTATCGCTGGGCCTACTTCAAGGTGTTGTTCTTAACCTTCAAGGCCCTGAACAGCCCTGGCCAAATGCTGAAGTCTTCAGCAGAACCAATCCCCCCCCCCTTTGAGACCACCATGGTCGCCGGAGACGTTCCTTTGAGAGGCATGTGGGAGCCAGCTTTCTCCCACGCAATGCGCAGAACGTGGAAGGCGCTGGCCTCAGAGCGGCAAAAGAGTTTCCACTCTCGCTGCCTTGAGGAGGACGACAGTTTTCTGCGCAGTTTTATTTTGTGCATTTCAAGTGTTTGTACACATGTTGACTTGAACAGTTTTAAAGGTCTTTTGCTTTAGTTTTTGTGAGTTCCTAGCGGAATCTGTTTTTACGGTTTTATGAGTGAAAGCAATAAATCATACTAACCACAGGACAAAACTCAGCGCAAAAACGCTGCTTCCTGATTTTGAAGTCCGTTCGACAAACATGATATATAGCCTTGCAGGATGATTGACTTGGGTTCCTCTGCATTCCCTTGGTGGGTTTCAGGGATTTTGCTCCCTGAGAAACAGGAAAGGATGTGCTTGTTCTTCACATAAAGAGGCATCATCCTCACAGCAAATGGAAAGAAAATCTAGGACCTACCTGTCCCCACCTCTAGGATTAAAAATAAAGCAGAAAGCCCATCTGTTTTTAGGCCGACTTACTCAGAGGTCAGTCCCATGTATGTACCCCCGCATGCGTTTCTGGAGAGTAAACATGCAGCGTTGATGTCTCTTGGTGCCTGACCACTTTGAACCTGCCAGTTCGGTGGACATGCTCCCAAATCCACTGGGTTTATTTTTATTTTATTTTATTTTATTGCAGACCTCTCCCCGTCTGCTCAGAACTGAGGAATGTCTGGGCGACTTCCCTCCTAGTGAGGTTGCCAGATCCGACCGCGGGAAAGGTGCATCTCCGATCTCGCTGGAGAGGGTCGCTTTGCAGGGAGCGCCACCCCAAAATCCTCTCCCCGTCTGCTCAGAACTGAGGACCGCCTGGGGCCCGACTTCCCTCCTAGTGAGGGTGCCAGATCGGACCGCGGGAAAGGTGCATCTCCCATCTCGCTGGAGAGGGTCGCGCCACCCCAAAACCAACCAAACCCTTTCAATTGGGGGCAGCCCCTGAAGGCTGTCCGCGGGGGAGGTCCGCAAGCCCCCCCTCGGCTGGGCTTTCCCGACCCTGGGGCGCGCAGCTGGTTCGCCCCGGACGGAGCCCCCGATGGCGCGCCCGGTCGCCGGCCACCCGGCCGG